CGAATGAGGGGGAAAGGTAGGGGAGAAGGGGAGGGCGGGGAGGGCGAGAGGGAGACAGAGGGGGAGAGTGGGGGCGGGGGGAAGGGGGAGAGGAAGAGAGGGGGGAGGGAGAGGGAGCCACTTTCCCACCGGAGGTTGGTCCCCACTTCCCTCACTGTGCCAGGCCTGCCTACAATCTCAGCATTCAGGAGGATCATGACTTTGAGGCCAGCCTGGGCTATATAGTGTGTGACTTGTGTGAAAGAAAAAACAAAAAGCATAATAAAAAGACATTCACACAAAATAATATTTATTAAAGAGATGCTTGAAGAGGCAGACTAAGTCCTGCCCACTCATCAGGTATTGAAGCGAGCAGCAGGGCACCATCGCCTTCTTTTGATCCTGTGCAGTTTCTTAGAGGGCTTTGTCGAACATTTTCACAGTTGATCTTCAGGTAAGAATTATAATTCTAGGTTATTGATGAAAATAATGCCCAGAGTGACTTGGAGGACAGTAACTTACAGAATTGTAACTTTCATAAATGGGAAAGCATCAGAACCTTCATCTAGGATGTCCCATATACCCTGATCCAAGCTGTACCCCCTGGGGGACTGGGTTCAGAAAGATGGGGAACAGGCACAGCTAATATTTATTTTCTTTTCTGTTCTCTCTCTCTCTCTCTCTTTCTTTCTTCTTCTTTTTGTCGGCCATGGGGCTTGAACTCTGGGCCTGAACACTGTCCCTCAGCTCTTAAAGCTCAAGGCTAGCACTCTACCACTTGAGCCACAGCACCACTTCTGATTTTCTGAGTGGTTTATTGGAGATACGAGTCTCATGGACTTTCATGCCCGGGCTGGCTTTGAACCGAGATCCCAGATGGCAGCTTCCTGAGTAGCTAGGATTACAGGTGTCAGCCACTGGCACCCAGCTTAATATTTTTCCCTAGAGTTACAGAGGTACAACTGAGACACACACACACACACACACACTTTAAAGTTTACCATTTGGTAAGTTTTGACACATGTACACCTGTGAAATCAATTGCACAGTCAAGATAGTAAACCAACCCATCAACCCCAAAGTTACCTCCTACGATTTGGTAACTCTTCCCTCCTTCCTTCCTGTCCCTGACATCACCAGTCAAGCAACCACTGATTTACTTTCTGCCACCGTGGATTAGTTCGCACTTCTCAGCTATAAATGGGTTCCATCCCATATTTCAAAAATAAGTACAGAGGACTGGATCACCTATTGTTAGCAAGAGAAAAGATCAAAACTCAAAAAGTGGTTTTTTGGGCTGGGTCTGGTCGTGGGGCCTGAATTCTGGGCCTGGGCGCTGTCCCTCAGCTCTTCAGCTCAAGGCTAGCGCTCTGCCACTTGAGCCACAGTGCCACTTCCGGCTTTTTACTTATGTGATGCTGAGGAATTGAACCCAGGACCTCGAGCATGCAAGGCAAGTGCTCTACCACTGAGCCACCTTCCCAGCCTGCAAAAAGTGGTTTTTACTGAATGCATATTGCTTCTGCACTATTGTAAAGTTGGAAAATCATTGAATTGGAACTGTAGACCATCTATATATTTATTACATCACCCAATCAACTCCATGGTCTGAGGCAGGTGCTTTTCTATTCCTCATTTATTGTTGAGCTTATTGATACACTGCATGGATGAAGGAAAAGCCCAAGGTCATGGAATTATCTGATAACTGGCAGAGCCAGGACTCAAACCAGGCAGAATGATTCTAGAGCTGACCTCTTAAGTCCTATGCTAAATACCATGATTCCTGAGCAACATGTGCCAGGAGTGGGGATGGGGATAGATGGAACGTGTCCCACGTATCTGCAGCACCTTACTCTGACAGCTAGAGGAATGGAAATGCTTCTAGGTATGTATGCGTTCCCAACAACAGAGCATCATATCACCATTGGCCTATATTTTAATTCACTCTTGGCTCCTGACAATAAATGAATGGAAAGTAGGAACACATGATTGTCACTGAGTAGTATCTTTCTACTTGAGAATTAAACATCAGAAATCATTCTTTTCTTCATAGTGCTCCTGGAAATGACCCAAGCAATCCCTTTATGAGTGCATAGGGCTTTTGTAGAATGCCTTTTTGTAAGAAAAGTCTTGTTTCTGCTTTTGGTTCTTTGGGCTCCCCTTCTTCAGTTGCCATGCCCCACATCTCTGAAGGAACCCCATTGGTTAACGGTTCATAGGAAGAGGATATGGTTTTTCAACAGAAATGAGAGCTAGGGCTCCATGGCTGGGGGTGGGGGTGGTGGACAAAAAGAGGGCATTTTCTGCCACAGCAACTTCATTATAAATAGCAAAGCACTTGGGCACACCCTGCCTGACCATTCACTTATCAGACTTTGATTCTGGCTAAATACACATGAACTTGAGGACAGCCAGCTTTTCTGCATTTCTGACCAGGGAGTTGCAGGGGCAAGGTTGAACACACACGAGGTGGCCTGGCCTGCAGGCAGGAGGGGAAGTGTACTAAGTGGGTGTCTGTGGTGTGTCTGGGCCTGGGTATGGGCCATAAGGGCTTCAGTGATGTGCCAGATGCTGTCTCTGGGCTTCATGAAGCCTTACAGGGAAGCCAGTACAGGAAGGGATCTGTGGGAAAGGGGGTTCAGGGGGAGCAGGCACAGAGCACAGAACTAGGAGTAAGCAGAAAAGCAAGGAGTGTTGGAAAGCTACTTGGAGACACAGAAATGAAGAACAAGGCTGTTGGACTTGACCTGAGAACAGGAGATGGAGTAGGACAATCAGTACAAGGGGTGGGTCATGCCAAGGATTTTATTTGGCTTTGTTACGCTTGGCAAATCCTACCTCATATCATCCTCCATCTAACACCAAGAGGTAGGGAGGGCTGTGTTGCCCACTCCTGGTTCTAACATGGAAACTTCGATCTTGAATGCTGAGTTTAAGTCCCACCCAGGCTTTATACCTGGAAATCACAATTGTCACCCATCTTGGCATAGCACTGGTCCATCTTCCCATTTGATCTTTACAAATCCTCAAAAACAGGACCATATTATGGAAGAAACTTTGGCTTGGAAAAGTTTTGCTGAAGATGTGAAGCTAAAAAGCACCAGGGCCAAATGAAGGACTAGCTGTTTCTGTGTCTCAAAATTGCTCTGTCTGTGTCTGTCCGTCTGTCTGTCTATCTGTCTGTCTCTCTCTCTCTGTCTGTCTGTCTCTGTCTCTGTCTCTTTCTCTGTCTGTATCTCTCTCACCCCAGAAACTAAAAATACAAGAAGGAGGCTGATATCTGAGGATCCTGGTTCTAAACCAGCCTGGGAAGACAAACCCAAGACTTACTTCCAATCAGTGAGCAAAAGCTGAAAGTAGAGGCATGGTTTAAGCGATAGAAAACTAGCCTTGAGCAAAAAAAGCCAGGCAAGAGATGGGGAGAGCAATACAAAGCAGGCAAGGTCTTTAGCCTTGTCTCAGGGTTCGATTCATTTGGACTTGAGCTAATCACTGTCCTTGCCACTTCGGCTTCCTCACCTGCAAAATTAGAAGGTAGCCTCAGTGGAAGACCAGAAGAGGGTCCAAGTCAGAAAAGTCATGGTTGCTGTTAGTAGCAGAATATTGTGTAGCATGGAGGTTTATCAGGGAAGAAAGGCACCTGGTGAGGGGACTATGGGATGAGAACTGAGACTGTTATAACTGACTGACTCGAATCAAATGCTACTCTAACTTTGAAAAAGCAAACCAACACATTTTTGGAAGTACTGGGGTTTGAATTCAGGACCTGACACTTACTAGGCATGCCCTCTACCACTTGAACCACACCTTTGGCCCTTTTCCTTGTAGGTTATTTTTCAGACGAGGTATCTGTCCTCAGATCTCAAGCCTCCTGGCATTCACTTCCGGTCCTTGTAAGGTAGAAGGTAAGGCACAAAGGGGAAAGGCAGAGAAACCTGGTTAGCAAGCCCTGGCTTAGTCCTGGACTCTGTGCTAAGCACACCAGTGTCTTCATCCCAGCTGTCATTGCAGTGCTGGGAGCAAGGACGTTTTTTATTGTCCTAAGTATAAGGAGATAGGCGAGTAAAATGATTTAAAAGGCACAAAGCTGATGAGGGGCAGAGCTCATATCTAGGAAAGACCATTGCGGTTTCTTGTGTTGCCCTTTGATTAAAGCCTGTCAGAACAAGATTTCCTGGGATTTGTTAAAATACTTATAAGAATAAAGTGTTAGCTTGCAGCTCTTTAAATGTAAGTCATAGAAATCCACTGTGGATAGAAAAGGGAGAATGTGCTCAATGATACAGGTTGTTTTTGTTTTTGTTTTTTAATTTCTGGAGGTGCTGAGTGTGAACTCAGGGCCTTGTGCTTGTGAAGTTGCTCACTTGATCCAAGCCCCAGAACTTCAGTTTGTTTATTTTCTGGTAGGGTCTCCTGCTTTAGTCCAGGGCTGGCCTCCAGCTATGATCCTCCTATTTCTGCTTCCTGTATAGTAGTGATTAGAGACTTGTGCTATGCTGCCCAGCCAGACATAGAGGTTTGAAAGCAGTAAAATCAGGCACAGTTGAGTCTTAAGAAGGGATAAATCATGGAACTGGAGAGTTTCTGAAGCTCTCCCTTTCCTCCTCCTCCTCCTTCTTCCTCCTCCTCATCCTCTTCATCCTCCTCCTTCTCCTTGTTCTTCTTTCTTCTTCGTATTATTAGGTTCCCAAATCATCCATCAGAATATAGCTACATTACAGCTCTCTTTTCCTCCCCCCCTAGTTTTCATGTTACTTGTGATAGCAGTTCAAGCTTTGGACAATGATACCACTCATTGAAGACCTGGTTTTTTAGTAGTAAAGAGAATTTGGCTTATTCTTGGTCCAATCAGCTACACTCAGAGAATGCATG